GACTGTTCATGGTGGCACAGTCCCCCAGAAATGCTAGGTCCGTTGCCTCCCTGGTGAAAGGAGGGTAGGGGCACCTGATAACACCAGCCTGCACATCCCTGCTGGGTATTAAGATCTAGACAGGGGGAGCCTAGGCTAACTGTGAGTACTGAGGCAGGGCTCAGGATAGGCAGAGAGACCTGTGGCAGTGCCCAGACTCACAGTAAAGTCTGAGGCTGCATTAAGGAGCTGGGAGTAAGGCTCCAGCAGGGTGGGGCCATGAGCCTTGGGGAGCTATTAGAGAAGCTTTTGGGTGAAGGGATAAGGGTTAACTTAGGGAGTGCAGTGGGACAGGGCTTGGAGCCCTAGTCCCATAGTGAGGGGCTTGGAGCCTGGGAATGGGGCTTGGAGCCTAGAGGCTCTTAGTTTTTATATTAGGGACATGATAGAATCATATCATAGATGTAGGGTCAGAAGGGACCTTGTAGATCTTCAGGTCCGACCCCAGCCAGGTAGGCATCAAGCCTATCTAGCTTCCTCTTAAAGACCCCCAGGGTAGGAGCCAGCACCACTTCCCTTGGAAGTCGGTTCCAGATCCTAGCCGCCCTAACTGTGTTCCTATGGATGTCTAATCTAAACTTACTCTCCAACAACTTGTGGCCGTTACTCCTTGTTATCCCGGGGGGCACTAGGGGAAACAAGGTCTGCCCCAGCCCCTCTGGTCCCCCCTCAGCCTTCTCTTGTGAAGGCTGAACAGGTTCACGTCCCGTAGCCTCTCAAGAGGGGAGACGGATGTCATCAGATGTCAGATTCACGGCTGCTATAAATTGGGAAACTAAAGAAATAGCAGCGATGGGATTCGAACCCATGTCCCCAGAGAGACTGGAGCCTAAATCCAGCGCCTTAGACCGCTCGGCCACACTGCCAGCTTGTCATTATCTGATAAGGCTGGATGTTTGGCCAAGAAACATCTGTGAGGCATGGGACACAATAAGGAAAGGTCAGAGTTATGTACATAGGCCCTTGTCATCAAGGCAGGTAAATGGGCAGCCTCCCACCTTGTTAAGATCTATTAATCATTAACATTAAGGTGTGGCAGGAGAGGTGGGTAGGTGGTTTGCCTGGAAGCAAGTGGGCAGGCCTACTTTGAGACCGGCCCCAGGACACTCACTTCTTACAATAGGAAAGCAGAAATACCACCCCTCCACACCTCACCCCACCCCTCCACAACTTAGTATTACTCAGTGCACAGTCAGCCTTCAAGCCAAAAGGAGCTGGGTTGAAGACTCAAAAAAGCTTAGGCTCCTTCATTATTGAGTTAATTAATTATATGCCCAAACTGCTTAGTAAATGAGGACTGATTCTAATCTTATGCTAATATAAATTAGGAACAAGTATCATTCTACTGAAGTCAATTTTCAGCTATACAACTGAGACCAGATTCCAACCAAGACTTTCTGGTTTTCAAATTTATTGCAGTCCACACTCAACACAGAAGATAGAACGCAATTTTTCTGAAAATGGACAAAGATTAATACGTTTTTCACTTTGGTAATGTATTATGTTTGTGTTTAAAACCACATAACTACTTTTTAAGTCTGATCCTACTGGGCCACAGGATCATATTATACTGGCAGCTCCACTGCTAGTTTATACAGATCCTGCATACATCACTGGAAAAAGGAAACATGCAGGGTGGGAAAGGGGAGAGGTAAATGGAAGATTAAATATTGTAAATATCATGCTATTCAACTGTAAATACAATTCTGCCATATTTTGTAGTACAGAACAAGCTGGGTTTTAAAATCTATCCAAGAGCTTGCAATGTTTTTAACATTTCTGGATCATTAGCTTCCTTTGGCCCTATTACTTCATTGACATATCACAAATATGAGTTGGCCTATAACAAATGACAGCACTGCTCCACATAATACAGTGTAGTATAAAACAGGGTTTTTTTTCTCTTCAGAGCACAATGAATAATATTTCCTACTTCGCATCCTCCAATTCACAAAAGAGTACTTGTAGGTCTAAAAAAATGAGCAGCCACATTCTAGTCTGTACATAATTGGTGCTGTCTTTCTGACCTTTTCCATATTTCACTAATACCTTTTCTTCAGTGGATCATAATCATTGCATATCGTCAGTGTTCAGTTGTCACATGGGTGAGTCATCTTATAAATATGCTTGTGCTAGGTTACTAACCTACTAGTTCAAGGAAATGAGCAAGCAGTTACCTAGTTACCACTTAACACATGAAAATGATCTGTTGTGTTTCATGAATCTTAGAAAGGAAGCACTTTTCCAGAGAAGAATGGTGCAGTTTATAATAATTGGGGGAAAAAAAGCCTCTACTTTGCAAATTTTATACCTTTATAGTAGTGAAGACAAGATTTGTGGAGAAAACATTAGGGGAAAAAAGTTATACTCTAGTTAATCATGTATTTCAATTAATAAGTTTCTTGACACACATGAATATTTTTATGAATGGTGCAATCCTCACTAAAGTTAGTTTAACAGGAAAAGTAGTCCTGTGTCTTTTTAGTCTTTAAAATCATTTTTATTATTCTTGGCTGGTTAATTTAAAATGTTTGTATACAACTCTAAAAATATACTCAGATTTTTTCTTTTGGAAATAGAGTAAGCTTCCTCTCAAAGTCAACAGTTAATGTCTACCAGTTTTCAATGAATAGTGGCTTTGTAGAATCAAGTATATGCCCTGAAGGAGCTATACAGGTACCTTTGGTTGGTCTAATAAAAGATATATTGGATTTATCCAAAGCACCTTCTCTACCTATACAGGTACCTTGGAATACAGGTACCTTGGAATTTCCTTTGCATGCTTTAGAGGACTATCACAACCAATTAGCACATTATCAAAGTAAAGCTGTTTTAAGCAGGCCAGGAATTTGGATCATGCTAGTCTGTTATCTTTATACAGTGTTGTAATGTGTTGTTATTATGGAGAGGACTTGAGTTAAGAGACTTCACGGAGGTGGCATGTTACAAGGAGGCCCTGAAGCAGGAGAGGGCATGGAGGTGTTATATGAGCTTAAGATCTAAACATAGTTAGCCTAATGCAAGCAGCCACAGAGATGGGAGCAGGAGGAGATAATGAGGCCCGCTTTGCACAGGATATTCAGTTCCACCAAACAACCGAGCCTGTCTAAATGCTCTAAAATGAGACCCTGTGTCCATATTGTTTCAACATCTTTTCAGGCTAGGTTGCTCAGCTGATAATCAATCTTTCCTTTTGCCCCTTCCCCAAAATGGCATTACTACTCAAAAGGGCATTTCCAGTGAATAACCTTAAAGCTCTGGCACTGGAAGCACTAGCTACAGAGTGGGATATGAGGAGGTCCAGGGGGGAGCATTGATCTACATAGGCAACTTGTCAAACCACACAGTAAGTTACCCTGCTTGAAAATGACCAGGGAAATACTTAACTCCTGGCTAAAACCTCCAACTCCTCTAGATAGGATGGAGGTAGCAAGGTAAAATTGCTTCTGAACACCTTATGGAAGAGTGGAAAAGGCTGAACCCAGATACTCGATAATATTCAAGAGTAACAAGTGATTATGGATACCTCGGCTTGTGAGTGGCCAAATTAAGACACTTTGATTTGTGAAGGACAGGTGGCCATGCTGCTCTATGTTATACCAGCAGCAGTAGTCCCAGAACAATTACTCTGCCAGCTGGCAACTGGGCAGACTACCATTTACTACAGCCCTGTCCCCTTCTCCTCTTAGCCATGCCTTCATTCTGCCTCTCTCTCCACCTGACACAGCCTAGTATGTATATGCAGGCAGCCTGGGTGGAACGAGGGGCATAGCATCAGCCCTGTTTGGTTTACATAACCTAAAGATTTCCCTAATGGGGTATATCCTCATCTAGTACTTTCAGGCTTCTTTGGTCCGCTTGAGCTATGAAAGGCAGCTGCATATGCCTTACTGTGCAGTAACTACTCTGCAGTGAATTTACTACCTGCATTTGCAGGTAGCAAATTAACCATGGAGTAGACCAATTTACTGTGCAGTAAGCATCTACATGTGTGATGGTGACTCTTAGTGTGCAGTAAATTGGTCTACTGTACCATAAAGCATCTTGTGTAGATGCACCCATAGAGTAGCATCATTCCAGATTACATTAGATTCCATATCCTTCTTCTTTCTAATAATATTATGTTGCTATGCAGCCTGTATGAGCTGACCTTTAGCATCAGATATTTGCAAAAAGTAGACACGGCCGAAAGCTGAATTAATTCTTTGGCCACAGCTCTACTTTCTTTCAGGTGATGCCTTGATCTTACATAACTAAGGAAGTGTGACTATGACACTAACTTATTTTAAAATAGGGTGTTTATATAAGTATAGAGAAACTCAGTCGTTCCTCACACTGTTTATCTTCTCGGGTACAAAACCATTAAGGCCACAATTTTAAAGATAGGTAGGTACTTCACACCTGCTTAGTTTTTCTTTTCTTTGAATATCACTCCATATTGCATATCTTTATAGATGTGCAAGTACCTAATATTAAGAATTTTTAAAAAAAAATCTTGTTGGCCTAATAAAAGGTATCATCTCTACTACGAGTCCTGATTGCTTTTCCCTCTAGACCAATTCGGCTACAACCTGGATAGCAAGTACCTAATAAGCATGCATAAATATCAGGTTTACAATTATAAGGTGACTTTAGTATTAACTTTTGTCCTTTTTATTTTTTTAGATCATGAAGAACATATTCCACCAATCTTTCAATGCCTACAAGATGGATATAGAACCCAGGTTGAATAAAATGTCACTGCATCATGTCCAGTGTAGCAAGAGACTCTCTGAGATCATGATGTCTCACCAAAGGGTTACTGCAGCCTTCATTGAGGGGGAAAATCTAGTTGTCACTGTGGAAGGAGAAGCTGCTAGAGTCTTGAATTTTGACACTGGTGAGTCGAAATTGGTCTTGCAGATCTTTTGTACGTGAATCATGGAAAGAGAGGATTAATAGCAATATTCAGAGTTGGGGATCCTTCTACCTGTATGCTCCTATAGAAGTAACCTCTGCTAGAATTAATGCAGTCCAAGTCATCTGCATTTTAAATGGAGCCTAACCCTGGAAATACCTCCCAATTTGACTTTAATCATTCCTTAGGCACCTGTATTTCTGTTTCTGTATCTGTGCTCGGGTTACCATATGTCTGGGTTTTCCTGGACATAGCCTTTTTTGGGTCCTCTGATCTCTATCTGGGTGGCTTTTTGAAATCTGAACATGCCTGGGATTTTGCTCTGCTCCACTGGGGGAAGTGGCAGGAGGGCAATTGAAGGCAAGGGGCTGTGGGTTGGGAGTGAGGTGTCCCCGCAACAGATGTCCTCTTTTATAGAACTGGAAATATGGTAACCCTATATCTGTCTGGGACTGCCGTTGTATGAGTGGTATGGTGCCAACCTCCTGCCTGAGCCCACTTATATGCAGAGGCTTTGCAGAACAATCCCAGTCATCCATAGAAGTGATCAGAGCACACCTAACTCACCAGCAGGATTGCAGCTCCTGAAAAAATACAGTTGGTTTCTATTTAAAATGCAGCTAGTAGAGAAGACCATGGAGCCAGCAATAGTGGTGCCCACCCACTATGTATTAGTGTCATGGATTTAGCTAGAAAGTGGGAGGCCCAGGTTTTTTCACCCTCAGCCTGAGGGTTGTTCAAGCTTACTTCTAATGACAATACTTAACTAAAGAGTTGCGGGCCATGTGAGGTGGGAGCAGTGTAGATGCCTACTGCGAAAGCTTGTGCTGGGCAGAAAATAATTCAGGACTCATAGGACCTAAGAGAGGGCCTAGGTCAGAATGAGATTTAGTAGCCTTGGGGTTGGGGCAGTTACCTTGGGGTGGGGTGGATTTCTTCTCCCAACACCATTTTTATATTTTACGCAAA